CTGTATTCACTGAGCTGCTAAACCTCTAAACCATGTGACATTACCTAAACTGCACAGACGTCATCGAGAAAGGAAAACTGTATAATGCATAAAACACTGGCTTGTTTGTTCACAGCTGTTAATCAGAGACTTAAGAGATCTAAGATCATGAAAAGAAGCTTTAAATTTTTTTGAAGACGTTTTACCTCTCATCAGGTGGAAATTCCCAGTTATCTAACCCCTAGGAGGTGATCATTGACCCACTATTAATCATCTGCGACATGACATTAGCCATAGTGTGTAAAAAGGCGTGGGCCATTACCATCAGAGGTTTTGGATGAAACCACTGTAAGACCTTTACCCTATCATGTGACCTATTGAAGGATCTCAGGACTGCATTGTGGGTAGCTGACAGTTGGTATCATAAGCTGCTCGCTCTGTTGAAAAGGTGGTCGTTCACAGTGGACATAGATGGTCTCTTTTGCTCCTCTTTCAAACCAACCATCTGTCTTTTCTATGCGTTTTCTCCAGTGAAGAGCTCTCTGCACTGCACAGCATATGCTTTGTTGCTCGGCTTGTGTTTTGGATGACTGAGAACCAACAGAGACATCAAGCAACAATACAAAAACATGAAGGGCACAAACTCCCCTGCAGGCAGCTCTTCTAAGCAGTATTTTAATGAAAAGTGTGATTGATATGAATATCTTGTGTAAGGTGACATAAATCCATCAATAATTAATGTTATATGCTTGACATGTATGAAAAAGTCAGTAAGTGGACTTTGTGAGACACGTATAACTGTGTGCGTTTGGTCGGCAACCTGGTGATGCAATTAAAATTTTGCTGTATTTTCAAATGCAATGATAATAAATGCTTTGAAGCTTGTTGACCAACATTTAGATTTCCAGTAATATTTGTCAGGTCTTGTGATCCCATGCCAATTTTTAACTACAATAAAATCTGTGCTTTCCTCATGTTTTACATAAATCTGTCTCAAAGTGTTACATTTATTCTCTGTATGTATCTCAATCATACAAACCATTACGTTTAAGTCAAGCATAATGTAGAAAGGGACAACGCTATAATAACCCTTACATTAAACAAGAATCGGTGTTTTCCTTTACATGTATTATTTGGTGATTAGTGATAATTCTTGTGATGATCTAGTAAAAGCTGTAACCTTTAGTAGTAAATGTAAAAACGCATAGTATCAGCACTCATCACATGGTGGAGCCAAAGTTTTTATAGTTAACTAAAAGCAGGAAAATGCAGAGCACGTGATCTGCAAGATCTTGTGAAATTCACTCAGATTTAAAAGTAAATGATTTGTAAATGTGGAGACAAATCTGTAACTATGTGCACAGAAATGGCTGATTTTCTGAAGCTGCTGAGAAAAAAGACAAGCCATCAGTTGCAGCTGTCACATTTTACATGTGATTTTTGTTTCACTCCTGTGGTAGCAAATGTTTATACATAAATGTGTGTGAACAGACTTTTCTCTATCTTTTGACCTAAATCCTGAGATGAAGATCACAGGTTCGTGCTGTCTCCCACGCAGTACATCAGAACATACATGTCAGTGTGTCTTTAGCCGACACACTAAAAAAAGAAAGAGTTGTGACTTTAATCTAATGTGGTTTTCACACCAGGCTGTTAACTGATACTTCCTTTTGCTTCTTTTCACAAACTTTTGTGATGCAGATTATATTGACAAATGTACATTGCAGGACATAAAAAAGCAAAATAAACAGTTGACATTAATCCTGTGATGAAGAGCACAGGTTCAGGCTGTCTGCCACGCTGTTCTTCAGTATATATCACCAGGTCGAGTAACAGTAACTTAAGCCTATTTTAAGACACCCACTACCCAGTGCAGTTGGTGTCAGGCAGACACAGACAGACATGCTACATGGGATAAATCATATGGTATTCAATTTTTAGGTGTGTTCATAAGTATCCAGTGGTATATCTTTGTTTAAAAAACAAACAAACAAATAAAAAGTCCTCAAAATAACATTCTTAACACAACTGGAACAGGAGCGTCTGGATTCAGTATCTAGCAGTCAGCTATAGTGATAGATAGTCTAAGGAGCTTGGAAAGAAAAGCTTCTGGACTTCTGTAAGTTGCTTGAAGACGTTTCACCTGGCATTCGAGAAGCTCCCAGATAAATGCAATAGTAACAGTATGTGACTACACCACATTTACATTCCTTGTGTTACTTCTTTCAGATGTTGCTGCAGATAACATTTTTAACTCTAAACTTCTATACAAAGAAAACATCACTCAAGTCACAGGAAAACTTTAACTTTTGCGCAAAACATTATATCTGACCTCAACTTAGCTGAAACTCTACAATGATGATTCCTATCAAAGTAAGACATCTGCAATTGATGTTACTTTCTTATTACATGAAGAGGTATTCTTCATGTAATAAGAAAGGTATTGCCTTCTTTTCTCTGGGCTCATCTTCATTCACCTTTTTTAAGCATACTGACATATATCAAGTAAATAACAACAACAATATTGACAATATTGTAAAAGCCCCAATCAAAATTTCGGATTAAACAAAGCCTTGTTTCAATAGTGTTGGTGCTTTGCTTACATTGTGTTTTGTTGAGAAGATGTGAGCTGTGCCTCAAGCATCATAGCTGGTCTTCACTGCGTTGATTGTCACAACCTTAGAAACCACAAGGTCGTGTGGTCACTGAGCTGCTAAACTGCTAAACAACTGCTGCCGTTGCACAGAGGTCAGTGTGCAACTACAGTATCGGTACCATGCATAACAATGGCTTGTTTGTTCACTATTACGAATCATAGTAGATGATCCATAATAGTAAATGCTCACATATTCTTATCAAGCAACAATACAAAAAACATGAAGGGCACATGAGGCAGCTTGTAATGACTTTACACATTAGCCTGTTTCATTGTGGAAATAGCTCTAATTGACTAAGTAACATTTTAAAATATTCTATGTGACACAAATGCAGCAGTAATAAGAATATTTGTTGATATGTATAAAAAAGACATTTGAAAAGTGACATTTGTCATTATGTCCCATTTTTGAAGTACAATAAAGATTTTGTTTTCCTCATGCTGTGTTTGTGTGTTTTACCATAAAAAACATTACAACAAAAGCAAGCACAAGAGATAAACAGAATAATGCTGCCTTTTCCTTAATACACAAGTTGATTTTTTCGTCTTCTTCTTCTTTTTTTTAAACATTTTCTTTATTTGTATTACTTTATTATTATCAATTTCTCTGTGTCAATATGTCGACATCTATAATGTTGGATAGTACAGGGAAAGAACAATTTGAGACAAGATGAAGCTTGATTTACATTTAATGCAGTGATCAGCACTGACCACATGATGGGGCCAAAGGCATTTCTATTAACTAACAGTGTGAAGGTTTCATATTAGATACAAACAGTAATGATAAACTGACAGTGTGTTTTACATTTGCCTGTTTTTTCCATCTTTAGTGCAACATGGCCTTAAGTACATTTTGGTAAAGTGTGCTTTTCCTGTATAAAAATAGATATTCCAGTTGATAACTAATTCTTTAAAGACTTAAATGGCATCAACCATCAGTGACAGCTCTTCATGTCAGTTTTTGTTTATCAGTGGAATAAAAAAATTACCACATTTTTTTTCTTTCAAGTTCATGAAGGAAAACATCTGTCATCTGTCACTTGTTGGGTTGAAGGAAGTAACTGAGAAAGAAAAGAAATAGAACAGCAGAGTTTAATGGGTGAAGATTTTACTTGCACATAATTTCTTCAAACTCACTCTCACAACATTACTTAGACCACAGAACACTGTAGTTGAAACCACATCCTTTTATTCCCCAGAAGTTATGTAATCTCATCTATATTGAGCCAGCACTCTTTTTTTTAGTTGTTCATTTCTTTGTTTTGTCCAGGTTTTCTTAATATAGTTTTTCATTTTCTTCAATACACGTACATTTTCTCACTTCTCATGAATATCAGAGTATCCCTCAGCACTTTTCTGTTTTTTCATGTGTTTAAATGTAAAATACAATTTACAAAACTATTATATTTCATTCACACTCATCTGTACATTCCATGAAGGGACCTAGTCCGCAAAAAATCAGCATCTCCCTTAAATTCTTTGTACCTGTTGACTGAGAATTCAACATATCTGCCATGGAAAAGGATTAGAAGATATAATTAAAATAATTTTTATTAAATTTTTCCAAAGACATTTTCTGAGGATAAGCAAAACATTGCAATGCATTGGGGGGTTCTCGTTCTCTCTAACGTCCAGCATGATTTCTACCAGCTTCCACTGGCTGAGACAGAGGTGAAGGATGGGTTTTTTTGTCACTTCTCAATCTTCCACTGATTCAAGACGGGCTAATTGGACTGTAGCTTATAGGAAAAAACAAAACAAGCCAACAAATAAGCAAAAAAACAGGAGAAGACAGGCCCCCAGAAAAGCTCCTGCTCTGTAGGACGTAACAAAGCACTTTACCATATACAGATGACATGCACATTAATATAACCAAGCATGAGTGAGAGCAAAGTGAAATATGAAAAAAGTACTGAAGGAGAAAAAATAATCAAAAATGCAAAAATTAAAATAATAATGTAATTTTTAAAATTACATTATTATTAGAAATTTAAATACACTGCTCAAAAATTATTATGTTTTTAAATGAAAGATTATTTAATTTAAAAAAGAAAAAAAATCACTTCCTGATCAGAGTATCATTTGTATGAGACACTGTCAGTGTGCTGTTATATAACTCAGGTATTTTTTAAGGCCTGACTTGTTGCATTGATGCCCATTGCTTTACTGTCCTGTTGGATGTGTAATGTCAGATCCCTTGTATCTGACATTTGATTGGGCATCACTGTGTTGCTATGGCATGATCCTGGTAGTTATTGTTGTTAAAACAATAAGAATAACAAATTCAAATTCAAACATTGCTGCATTCTTCTGTAACTGACAATTCCAAACCTGCACTCAGTCTCCTCATTACACTGGTTCTGAACAGACACAACATTGGAGTCTTTGCAAACTTTGTTCAAAAACTACAACTATTTGACACAAAACTGCGACAGCAAGCACAGAAACTTCAAACAAGTCACTGAAGTAAGGATTGAAAGATTTACTGTTAAACATTAATGATTAAGACCTTTCTCATAAGGTTGTTTTACCTTGATTGCCAGCTGTTCCTGTTTTTATCTTCATTTCTTTCGTATTTAATCACCTAAACAATGCTGTAATGATACAGTTTGATTGGATATACATTGTTGAAACTGACTTGAAAATGTATGGCAACTGTCCTGTAATGTTACACAGAGAAACCAAATCCTGTGTGGATCTTTCTCCTGACAGACGCCTAAAATGGCTCGAGCTGTGGTAAGTTACTCTTCACTGTGTCTGTTTCTAAACATTAAATCATGTGAATTCTTAATGAAAAATACAACAACAATAATAATATGTAACTTTTTAAAGGAAAATCCACATCTTAAGAGGTTTAACTCACAAAGCAGCTCAGATGTCAGCAGTGACAGGTATGTTTGCTTTACAATTTAAAAAAAAAAGGACATTAAAAGATCTGTTTCCATCATATGTTGCAAAAATAATCAGCTGCTGACTTTTCTTGTTATGTGTGCAGCAAGTACTGCTTCCAGGATGTGGGGATCTTACCGCCTCCTAAACGTATGAGGCTGATGACGTGGGATCTTTCCCTGCCTCCAAGTCCTCCATCATCCCCTGTAAATGATGACAATACTGATCAAAAGTGTATCAGCGGGCTGCCTTATGATGTTCCATTGCCTCCGCGTCCTCCACCTTCTGAAAAGAAGTATGCTTCCCTTCGTTCCCTTGAACACGAGAGGTCTTATTTGATGCCTCTCAGTGTCCTGGCTAATATTCCACTGCCTCCAAGTCCTCCACCATCCCCTGTGTGTGCTGAATACATGAATCCAAAGTGTGTCAGCCCTCTGCCTCATGAGGTTCCACTCCCTCCAAGTCCTCCACCTGTTGAAGCATTTGGTCCCTGTGGAAAGAATCCAAGTTCAACAGTGTGGTCTGTAGGTGATGAAGAGGAAGAGTTAATGCTTAAGCTCATTAGGCTGATGCTTCATGATGTTCCACTGCCTCCATGTCCTCCACCGTTTGAAAAGAAATATGCTTCACCTCATTCTCTAAAACACAAGAGGTCTGATTTGATGCCTCTCAGCCTCCTGGCTAATATTCCACTGCTTCCAAGTCCTCCACCGTCCCCTGTGTTTGCTGAATACAGTGATTCAAGGTGTATCAGCCCACTGCCTCATGAGGTTCCACTGCCTCCAAGTCCTCCACCGTCCCCTGTGTTTTCTGAATACAGTGATTCAAGGTGTATCAGCCCACTGCCTCATGAGGTACCACTGCCTCCAAGTCCTCCACTGTCCCCTGTGTTTTCTGAATACGGTGATTCAAGGTGTATCAGCCCACTGCCTCATGAGGTACCACTGCCTCCAAGTCCTCCACCGTCCCCTGTGTTTTCTGAATACAGTGATTCAAGGTGTATCAGCCCACTGCCTCATGAGGTTCCACTGCCTCCAAGTCCTCCACCATCCCCTGTGTTTTCTGAATACACTGATTCAAGGTGTATCAGCCCACTGCCTCATGAGGTTCCACTGCCACCAAGTCCTCCACCTGCTGATGCCTTGCCTCAGTCAAAGGACACTCATAAGGTCCTGCATCCAGATCTAAAATATGACCGTTCTTCCCTGGACGATGAAGTGGCCTTTTTCATGTGTCCCACAGAAAAGCCTCCTGGTGTAACCGCTCTTGATGTTTCACCACGTCCACTTTATGAATTTCCACACCTTTCAGAGAAGAGATGCCTCAACTTATCTACTGTTGCTTTCCTTTGTCTGGATGATTAAAGATGTGTTTGTTGTAATAAAATAATTTTTGAGCAAATACATGTTGAGATGATTTGGTTACTTATGATGGTTATAATTATTCAAACAGCATTATTGCTGATAAACTTTTTCTACTCATTTTCTCCATGAGCTATTTAGATGTCTATTTTGAAGATCCACTCACATTATTATTAAATATGCTTATTCTCAGTAGAGTATATAGCTACATCTGAACAAGGAATAAATTAATTTCCACCAGATACTCATTAACAAGTTACCTCAACATGAACCACTTAAATAAAGCAGGCATTAGTGGAGTGCACAGATGGGAAAAAACGACTACATGCCAGCATTTACTTTCTCTCCTTGCTTCTCTACCCTCTGTGTTTTATGGGGTGACTGCAGGAGAAAAAAGGAGGGCTTTCCCTTCTGCCTTACACCCCTTCTTTGAAAACATGTGGCCTGGGAATAATTGGGTTACAACTGCAGCAGACCAATGAGTTGGCCTTGATTTGGAGAATGACTCCATTTACTTTTGTCTGACTGCCTGCTGCTCCCACAGCTGCACCTTTTATCCTCTATTCAGGATCAAGATTTTACTGAGCATTAATATACAGGACTAACCCACATTCAGGATACGAGGTGACAAAAAGTAACAGTTAAAAGTAATGGTGATTAAGAGTAACAATGTTACTAAAGGCTTTACTTTTTTTTAGTATCGAGTAATCTAACTAATTACTATTTCTATTGTTACAATGCTGTTAACATTACTAACAAGAAAATATGGTGCAGGTGTGTTACTATTTTTCAACACACAGACGGTTGAAGCTGTCTTCCTCTTACCTGTAAGAACTTTGAAGTACTTGGTTAAAGTCTTCAAAGTTCTGTCTAACTGATTTTAAGCCAGAGGTTAGACAAGTTTCTTATGGGCCTGTTAGTTTCACATTAATGCTGCAGATGAGACAGTGGCAGAAAAAGAAAGAAACTGTGGTTTTTAACTGTCAATCTCACTCTTGGCTTAATTCGTTATTATATTTGTTTGTAAGAAAGGCAAGCAACTGTATGATGCCCCAAACATTCCTACTGCCCCTTTATAGTAGAAGGTGAAAAATGTCATGCCTACAAGCCATAAATTTTTATCAACCATTAGGAATTCCATGGGGAGTTTTAATAAAATAATGGTCAGAACAGTGGCATCAAGAGGCAAGCTATTCACCAAGAATAACATGGTTATCATATACAAATACCAAACCTTAAAAAGAAGAAAACATACACCCTAACAATATCCCTTTAAATATCTGTGCCTCTGTGAATCTGCACATTGGGTCCATTTCCTGCCCGCCTGCACACAGACCAGGACAGAACGACATGACCACAACATGGACCCAGCAGACTCACGGTTTGCCTCGGAGGAGGAATAGGTTGCGCAGCTATGGGACTACTGCAGGAGCATAATCCATGCCGCAGACAATTGCAAGCAGCACATACAGGTGGTGCTCTTTGACAGCTTCCTGTCCTGCACTCCCTGTTTAGTGAGTTTTGTGAACATTAAAAAAGTGGCTCAGTCACCGGCCCAGTTTTCTGCACAGTCTGCAGTTCAGTTACCTGCTGTGATGCCTTCGGTTCAGTGTTATTGTTATTGTTGCTGAGTCACCAGCTCCTCTGACTCAGTCATCCATTTTGTTATCTGTTCAGTTATCTGCTCAGCCTGCAGTTTGGTCACCTACCCTGTCAGCAGCTCAGCTCAGCTCGTGGCACAGCCTGCAGCTCAACCGTTAGCCCACTCACTGGCTCAGCCTGTAGCCCACTCACCAGCTGCCATTAGCTCTGCCCGCAGCTCACTTATCTGTTCAGTCAAGGGTCTCCATACCTGCTGACCCTGTGTCTGCCTCTGCTGGAGGGTCCAAGGGGCCCGTCCAGCCTTCGTTTGTTCCCGCTGTGTGTTCTGGAGAACCGCATCAGCCTTCGTCTGTTCCTGCTGGGGGTTCTGGAGAACCGTGCCAGCCTTTGTCTAAATCTGCTGGATGGTCCGAGGGGCCCGTTCAGCCTTCTGCCTCCGCTGGAGGAGTCTTCCACGCAGCTGCCCTCAGGACCTGCTCAGGCCTCGATTGTAGGATTCTTTTTTTATGATATTTATGGCCCTTGGGAACCATCATTAGAAGGCATGGAATATCCTTCCACTGTTATGTCGACAACTGCCAGATTTATCTGCCTCTGAAGCAGAAAGATGCCTTCTGTATTAAATCGCTTCTGTCATGTCTAGAAGATATTGAAACTTGGATGTGCCCAAAACCTTTTAAAATGTAATTCAAGCAAAACAAAGGTGATCGTGTTTAGTCCAAGCAGACCTTGTGATTCTGCCTCTATTGATTTAGGAACCCAGCAGAGTATTTCAAACTTGTTGTTACTAACTTAGGTTTTAATTAACTGATTTTATTGTTTTAATTTAATTTCAATTATTAGTTTATTTTTAAAACGTAATTTAATGTATTGGTTTTATCTCATGTAAAGTGTATAGCACTTTGTTTTCAGCTGTGAGTTGTCTGAAAGTGCTATATAAATAAATTGCTTGCTTGCTAGCTAGACCAATTTGTACATCTGTGGGTGCAGTAGCTGCTTTCTTTAGAAGCAAAGAGGATGACCATAGGCCAACCTTCAGTCTATTAAAAATTCACAGTGCAGTCTCACGCTACCACATAGAACACATGCCCTCCTTAAATGGTGAGTGAAAGCTTTTAATTTGAATTTATGCAGGTTGATACTGATTAAAACAAGATAGAGCCTTTAAAGTTTTATTTCACAAAAGTATTAATAATCACACATGTATACTATTCTTTAGATATTATTTAACCTTTTTTTCATTTATATGGAAACAACTTTGTATGTAACCTTGTAAATGTTTGAATAAACTAGGGCGAGGACAACTTTAAATATAGTGTGACATGTTTCAAAATGTTGACGTCTGTGTTACAGAAACAATGATTATCATCTACATTAGCATTGCAGTTCTGGCAACAACAGCCCTGGCAAAAGGTACTCAGTTTAATAGTATGTTGTACTCAGCTTTCAATACAAAAATACTGATTGAATGACCTATAATTAAAAAATTATTTATTATAGTTAAAGATTTATATTTGAGGATTACGCATAGTACTTACAGTGCAGGTAGCAATTATACTGGATTAGCCTAATATTAAAATATATAATTTGTCAGTTTTATTTTATTTATATATTTGGTTTTCTTTCAATCTATATTTTACATAATATGTTTGTTTGTTTTTTCTTTTAGGTTCAGGTGAATGCATTTTCTCTGAATCTTCTGCAACTTGTTTTGGTGCTACAGGACAGCCGGTAATTTTTCATCTGTCATATAAACGTGGTACTTCGATTGTAACCACGAAGGATGACAAACACAGGATTTTGAAAATAAGCAATCAAGGGAAAGTTACATTAGATAAGGAATATGTAAATCAGTCAGACAGCATAGACACTGTAATACTCAAAGTAGGTGAAGCCTCGAAGAAACATTCTGGACATTACCAGTTGGAAGAACATGATCATGATGGAAAGTTACTGAAAAAAATTAATGTATATCTAAAAATACAAGGTAAGTTGTTTTTTGTTCGTTTGTTTGTTTGTTTTGTTTTAAACTCAAATTTTGTTGTTTTTGTTAAGATATACAAACTTTTACGTTTTATTAAAAGATTAATAAATGCAGACGTTGAAAACCTAATAAATGTTAAAAAGTCAATAAATGTTAGACATGTAATAGACAATATTTCAGACTTAACAATACATCTATCATAAGTTACATGAATTTTTGTTAATATCAGGAACTGCAGCAACGTGCTTGTGTATGCTAGTGGACTGTAAATTGGAAAGTTAACACTGAATAACAATTTAGAACCAGAACACCAGTGATGGAGTAGCTCACAGTCCATCACAATTCATGTTATTATCTGTAAAATGACAAATCTGATCTTGACATGGAGCACAATTTGGTGTCAACTTAGGTGATTTTTTATTTTATTTTATTTTTTTTGCAAATTTCACTTAAAGGCTGATTAGGTAATCACTATGTGGCGATCGTGATTCTGGGGGTTGGGAAGCTCATCTTGTAATCGGAAGGTTCCCGGTTCGATCCCCAGCTCTGTCTGTCTGTCCTGGTCCTTGTGTCCTTGGGCAAGACACTTCACCTACCGCCTACTGGTGTTGGCCAGAGGGGCCGATGGCGAGTCTGTCAGTCTGCCCCAGGGCAGCTGTGGCTACAACTGTACCAGTGAGTGAATGTGAGAGTGAATGAATAGTGGAATTGTAATGTAAAGCGCTTTGAGGGTCTCGAAAAGCGCTATATAAATGCAATCCATTATGTGCAAGTTTGATTCAATTCTCACCAATATTGTAGAAGGATGATGGGCACCTAGCCGTACCATAAGCTCATTGAGTGTTAGGCTTGATGGGCTAATAATTGATTTTAATTTTTAACCTTCAAATCTGCAAATGCAAGTATACTTTTAGTATGTTTGCTTTCCAGATTTTAAAATTATGCACATATGCAGTGTACAGTTAAACAGATATTTAAGGGAAAAGCTAAAAACTGAATTGAAGTTTGAGAATTGTCAGTTACACTGAATATCATCAACATCATAATGCGGATACCTCCTCGGCGCCAGCTGTGGGCTCAAGGCTGGAGCCGAACGAAAACTCCCTGATAAAGACTGTGTGTTTACGGTTCTTCCCATTCCATGCAAGGCCACCTGGGTTGGCTGGCAGACTGTTTACTTAGCCTGATAGGGCAGAGGACACCGTCTCAGCTGAACTAAGGATACGCACTCACTCATCCCCCCTCCCTCTCCAAACGCCTTCGATGCTTGTCCCCTCCTGGAGACCACGGCGGGTCTGGGCCCACGATGGAATAATAGTGCAGGGCAGGATGACTGCTGTGCTTCCTTCAGATTACTCCTCACCCCCTACCCAACCCTATGGCTTGTCACGTGCTCCATAATGTTGTGTTGTGCTCGCCGTGCAGAGGAGTTTTTTTGTTTCCTGTTCTCATGC